TCCTAGCAGTCTCCGATTGCGCTCCTACCAACTTGGCCCACATTTCGTAAAAGGCGTCTCACGATACCCGCGCCAGGCAGTTACATTCAGGCGGGGCGGCTACGTGCCGGACGCGGCCCAGCAATCTGGAACCCCTTACAATTGGGGACGATCGAGTAAATGTATTTGAACCTCAACTCCTCCGTGAATAAGAGCCGGGTATTGCGGCCTCCCCCTTAATTAACATTACGGGACACGATCACATATTGAGTCTGCCAATGTTACAGCGGATGAACAAGCATAACCTGCGATTAATGCAGGAGCTTAGAGATGACGTGTCGGCTGGAGGTTCCCCGAGGATTTGGTTCGCCGCAGGAGTCGCCATCAGCCTCGCACTATGCGGCTTGGTCCTGCTCCAACAACACTGCAGGCGCAAATGAGAGGCAGCCCAGCTACAAAGGTCCATCGACGAATTGGCTGTCACCGAGGACGGCGCCCAATTTAAGGGGGGAGTAGTTAACAACCAACTCCCAGCTTAGGCTGAGCAGGCCAATTCTTATTCCCCTTGTTAATATTATATTATTATTATTACACTTTCCTCTCATGCATGGTCCACCCTAAATTGGGTCCACCTTGTGGGCCCTAAGCTGAGCCAGCACATTGTACTGTTCCGAGCCGTGGCTCCGTTTCGTTGGCTGACTGCGATCGTTTGACTTCTGCAAAATGTGAAGGTCAGCGTCTGCGCGGGCAGCCGGCTATGCATGAGCTTTTGTTAGTTCTTAAGTTTAGTTTTAATTTGGATTTGAAATAGAGAGCACTGGCTCGATCATAAAACTCCGGCCTCAGCCGTTACATTTATTCTATTTATTAAATTTGGTTATTGAGCCTTAAGGGCCATAACAACGGGGATAAGTATCTCCCACCGTGGAGATAACAGTGGCTGCCATCCTTGGTGGTCACCAACACCTAACCAACCGGCTCTACCCCTGCCACGAGGGCACCGCCAGCCGGCACGATTATTAAATAACTTGCATGCCTCTTTTATGTAAATCAAAGGAATGGAGCTAGAAAAATAATTTCATTGTATCAGTAATTAATAAATAAATGTATTATGTGAAATGAAAAAAAAGTTTTCTTACTTTTTCTGAATAAAGGAAGGGAAATATATAGACTCACTTACACACGTATGTCAGAATAAAAAAGAAGAAAAAAACTTGAAATTTTTAGAATAAATTCAAGCAGGCTGTAAAGAGAATCATTTTTAAAACTTAAAGTCTTTGATGTACGCTATGTATTCGAATCAAATTCAACAGTTTGATGGAGTTCTACAAAATTCTCACTATCTGCGACTTCTCCTTATTAATTTAAAACTACTTGAGTGTGAAGAAGTTAAAATGATAACTTCTATCTATGGCGTATACCTAGAAACATGTATCTGGAGTAAGGATTCAGCTACGGATGGAATCGACACTTGTGAAAGTCATGAACATTTTAAGTACGAAAGGGAGGCAGCAAACATTATAAACATATAAGTTATGGCCGGAGGGACTATTCTACCAAATATCACCTATATACTTAGTTAAAGTAGTTGCCATCGTTGTTCCTTTGGTTCCTGATTCTTAGTTGACACGTCTCTTCCCGCCTTGACCTAGGTTTTTCTATTTACGAGTTACGTTACAAATAAAACAGTGATCGTTTCAATACGTTTTAAAGGTTTTATTAGTTGAGATCAAAAGCCGTCTTTTTGAGTCAGGGGTACGATTTTCAGTGCCTCGCCGCATATTCCTGGCAGGGCGCCTGCGAAATTGCCAGTACTCAATAATTCTGCCGCCGTCGATCTGTCGCTCTCCCGTTTGGTTTCTCCATCGCTGTCGCCACGTATATGTCGTTGTATATGTGCTGCTGCGTCGCTGCCGGTCTCATGTCTCGGCGGCTGCATTATTGTAGCCCCGAAAGCCGAGAGGGCCGAGAGGGTTGAAGGGTTGAGGGTTGGCCCTTGCTAAGCTGTCCTCCTTATTCACGATGGCATTCCAATCAGATTTGTTCAGTGATCTCGCACCCCACTTCCAGAGTGATCTTATTCAGTGCGCTTATCCATGCGCGAGATTCCTTCTTATGCGTGTTGCAGGTAGGGGCCAACCAGTGCGTTTATTCGTTGGTCGGTTACTACCATAGCCTAGTTTGTTACCTGGTCGACGTTGCTGCATCATATTTGAAAATATGGAGGGTTGTCGCCACGAATATTGTGGACGCACGCTTCTTAATACCATATCCCTTACTATATGGTTTTAGGTAGAACTACCGAGGACTCTTAGGGCAGTCAAAATAGGTACGATTGGAAAAAAACCACCAGTTTTGGGTACATTAATTATTCTTGGTACTTTCACTTTTTTCTTTGAACCCATTGTCGATTGAACTGATTTTCGTGCAATTTTAATTGCACTCATAATGTCCAATGTCTTTTGTGTTTTTAATATTCTAGTAGCAGCGTAATAACAGTCTGTCGACGGTTATCGTCGTCATCTTTACTTTTTTCCTCGTCGTCTTCCCTTTACATTTCTTTTTTGTTTTTGATATTCCCATTCCAAATTTTTTCTTTGCTTTCATAATGTTGGTCACCAAATATGCTGCTGCTTTATCACCAAGAGTACTGTCTGGTGCTTTTACACGTGACCAAGCTTTGTCAATTAATATAGAGTCTGTAATGTGACGTTCATGTAGATCCTTTTTATGGGAATATGCTATAACATGTTCTTTACAAGCCTCATCCAGTTTATTTATCCCTTGATCACCTCGTTATAAACGTTTTTCTAACTGTGTACCCGGCCCACAAAATTTATATCCTGGTATATGGGCTTCAAACGGTATTGTATTAATTAAGTTGTTGACACGACCACCACCTCGTCTACAATTGAAAACACTAATGAATCGATTATAAAAACGCTTCCCCATTATATTGATGTTTAATCATCAAAGATTTCTTATCGAATGAGGTACATAAGCTTTGGGCTACAGCCCAAAAACTTAAATCAGAACTAGATTTTCTGAAAGAAAAATTAATGAGTAACAAAAATAAATGCCCAAAGATTCCGCCACTCACTCAGTACCGATAAGGAAAATTAATGAAAAAATAATAACAAAACCTCCATCACCCAAGCCATTACCGAAACTAAAAAAGACGTTCCCGAAGGATTGCCCTGGACCACTGGACAGCCCCCACTGCAACCACACCTGTGCGAGGACCGGCACCGGTAACGCCTGGGTCCAAAATGACCCGGACAGCAGCAGCAGAAAATAGGGAACGAGGGAACGACGGCGTAGCCAAACCGGCGACGACCAGCTGACGTGGAAAAAAAAGGAAATCAACTGAGCAGAAAAAATTTTTTTAACCCATGCACTGCGTGGCATAATTTTTTTGATTGCACTGCGATGCATATTTTTTTTTATATAATATAATATTTTTTGAAAAATTGAGCGGAACCTCTTTTGCCCAATTTGAAAGTATGGCCCGTATAGCTGTACAAATAATAGGTAGGAAAAGATGTTAGATAAAAACTCAGATTTAAAAAAAAAATTTAATTTAATGAGAAGTAATAGCATAAGTAAAACAGATCAAATAAATGATTCTGACTATTACTTCCCAGAAAAATTAAGTAACATTACAAAATATGACTCAGAGAAAAATAAAATAGGAATTGAAAAAAAATATATATTACATCTAAAATGGGTTTAGTAGACACAAAAGTTGTAGATTCCACGGCAAATGTCGTTAAGAAAATTGAATCCGAAAAAATCGATCTTCTAACAATTACAATATTGTTAATGATAATCGTTGTTATAATGTTAGCAAGCGTATTGCTAAAATTATATAAATTACACAACAAATGTTTAAAGAAAAAAAAATCTAAAATAAAGAAAAATTAATATTAAAATATATTACGTAATTCTCTTTACAAAAGTATGGCTAAACTAAAGGCATGAATTGGAACAAATTGTACGAGGAGTTATCAATAATTAAAAATAATTTTGACAGATCGTACAAGTCTCTAACTCAGAATAGACCCATTCAAAAGAACACGGTTAGGAAGCACGTTGAAATATTAGTAGAGTGCTTTAATGAAGCGCGTATGCTAATACATGATCAAAGGGAAAGATTAAATCAAGATCATTGGTCAAAGGTATCGAAACTTTTAATACGACTACGATCTAATTTAATATTTATTAAACACAAGTTCAGTTTAAAAATATCATTACCAACCGTTCTAAACACTCCAATAGCAGTTGACACTGCACCTGACTCGGAATCAAAAAAAACGAACGAATCTGAGTCAGAAGAGCTTCCCAAAGTAAGCCCCAAAATAGAAGATGAAGATTTGAATAATCTTACTATTCCGGCGGTATACACTGATCTGAATAATTCTACAGATTCAGATACTTCGAGCGTCATAGAATACAAAATAGATAAACCCATCACAATAGCACAATCAAATATTGACTTTATTAATACAGCATCTAAGCTTATACCAGTTTTTGATGGTAAGGCTGAAAATTTAACGAGTTTCATTGATGCTTTACAAATAATACAATCTGGATGTCCAAAACGGGAACGTCCTTCTAAAGTGGTCCTGTGCCACAAGCAACTAAAGGTCCAAGTTGAATTCTAACGGTAGGCCAACTCGCTTAGACGGACGGGACAGACAATAAAGTAGATGCGCTATGGTTCAGTTGTTCTTCTCAAGTGCCCTTTAATTTCTAATTCATTTGGCTTTAGAACTAATGCGCTCGCATAATTGCGCGTGTATGTGTAAGCATGCAAATTCCAGTGTGTGTGACAAAGTGAGCGTAACAATTAAAGAGCGCAATTTGTACATACATACGTACCTTAAGAGTAGCAATTCAAGAGTAAACAAAGTAAACTTAAGCTTAAGCGTATTTATAAAAATGTATGCAACTATATGAGCAATTATTGAAGTTGTTATTGAATATATCTAAACAGTAGGAGTTGCAATGAAATGAAATGACTAATCATCGGCCGCGTTGAACGGCAGCAGGGCTTCAAGATTCCTCAATTGGTGAAGGAGCTAACCGATGAATAGAACGCTTATACAAGCCAGATTTAGTTCTGACGACTGCCACTCGAACCTTTCCATCCGCGCCTTTGATCACCTCCTCGATGATTCCTAGCAGCCACTGGTGCGGCGGACTGTTGTCCTCGTGGACCACGACGATAGTTCCGATTTCGATGTTGTGGCTCTCGCTCAGCCACTTCTGCCGCTGCTGTAGACTCAGGACGTAATCGCGTTGCCAATCTACCCAAAACCGTTGCTTGATTGCGGATATCAGTTGCCATCTCTTTAAGTAGCTCAGTTTGTCGTCTGTTACTGGCTGACAGAACACGAATGGCAGCGCAACGAGCGTTGTCCCGACCAACAGATGGGCTGGGGTAACTGCTTCGCCATCGTTGGGGTTGGAGCTCGAATTTAGAATGGCTTCCATCTCCACCAGCACGGGGTTCAGTTCGTCCTGCCGGAGCACTGCACTTCCCACGGCCTTGATCATTAATCCTTTGGCCGATTTTACGGCAGCCTTCCAGAGGCCGCCGAAATGCGGCGCTCGGGGCGGAATGAACGAAAAAGTGATTCCTCGGGTGGCAGCAAATTCCATTATGGCATCCTTGTTGGTAAAGAAGTGATCCTTGAACTCTTGAAGCATCCGAGAGGCACCGACAAAATTGGTGGCATTGTCGCAGTAGATCTTCTGTGCCCGCCCACGCCGGCCGACAAACCTAGACAAACACATAATAAATGATTTAGAAGTGAGGTCTGAAACAAGTTCTATGTGAACAGCCTTAGAGGCAAAGCAAACAAATAAGGCAATATACATCTTTACAGCTGACTTCCCTCTAATTCCTAAGGTTACCAAAATTGGACCACAAAAGTCCACTCCACTGATCTCAAAAGGTCTATTGCCATGAGACGATCAGCAGGTAAATTTCCCATTATTTGGGTTGCCAAAACTGACTTATAACGAAAAGCAATGTGCACACTTCCGTACAATGC